CTGAGTAACTGCAGAAGGAGGTTTATTTTCTTCTGGCTGTAAAGGTCTACCTCAGGTAAACTGTTCCCTGAGGGAGAAAGTGTCCAGGTACAGAATGTTCACAAAGGAAATATTTAAAGTGCTTCTGTGTCCCCAAAGTGTTTGCTTTCAAGTATGAGGGCCAGAGCAAAAAAATAGAATATTAATTTCTAATTTGAAAGCAAAAATAACCTCTTGCAGGCAGCAGAAAATTAATTGACCTTCTTTGGGCTCGATACTGCAGCCCATGAAGTGCACAAGTGAGGAGGAGCTGTGGAGGAGATGCCGTGTCCCCAGTGCACAGCCCGCATGGGGCAGGGCAGGAGCTGGAAAGCCAGCACCAGAGGAACTGGGGTCTTCAGGCTGGTTTGTGTGATTCAGGGTAAGAGCCTTGCTAATGGGACCTCAGCAATTCAGGATCAATGCCTGGGCCTTATGGGTGGTATTTCTATGTGGGGCGTTTTGCTGTTGGACGGCACTCCTGAAGCAGTTCCAAGCTGCCCTGTGATCTCATCGTGGCAGCACTTCACTTGCCATGGGCTTTTCAAAGGCCCAGAATGAGCTGCTCTGATGTCAGCCAGCTGAACTATTGCCATCGTGTTCCTGGCTCTGTGGGTCCTAGATGAAGGTGTGTTCTCATGTGTTCAGGAAAAGGAAGGACTGAGGAAGATGCTTAGACTTGGTTTTCCATTGGAATGTGTAAATGCTGTTGGATGGTGGTGGTGTTCCCCTAAAGACTGTTTCTCTTTCAGAACAAAATAGTTCAATGTGCTATTTACATTGTTCCTGTTTCTCTTTGCCATGCAGTGTTTCCAGGAACACAGCATTTATCTGGGACATTGTTTAATAATGGAAGCATCTCACTGCTGTTGGAGTGTCCCCCATTCTGGGTTATCGAGGAGGGGTGGTGGGTACACCAAGCTCTTCTGTACCCATTCAGGTGCCATGAAGAGCTAAGGTTACAGAATCACCTCAGAGCTACAAGGACTGATGAGTGTCACTTGTGCTGCAGCTGAGTTTAATGGTTTAAGGAAGGGCCATAAGAAAGGTGCTTTTTGGGCTGTGACAGTATCTGGGTACTCAGAACACATTTCTACTTCAGGAGTGGGCTGCAGATTGTGCCCAAAGTGGTGAAAGACTCGAGGTGTGAATTGTCTGTCTGCCCATCCGGGCTGGCTGGCCCTAACCTGCACAACTGGGTGAGACGCAGCAGCCCAGCAGTACCAGGCTGAGCTTGGACTCGGGGAGACCTCAGATCCTCTGCCATGTGCTGCTGGCTCATACTGAGGAGGGGAGCATGGACAGCATCACACATGCTGAAGAAAGGGCACGTCTGGAACTGGACTGCAGGAAAGCGCCAGTGTTCCTTTACTGTCCACACTGTCCCTGTTCACCTCAGGTGAAGGAAGGGCAATAGGTGCAGATGTCACTCACCAGGGCTGTCAGTCAGGGCAGCAGCACTTGGCGCTTCTCATCCCAGCGGAAAATCCTTGAGAAACAACAAGTGAGGATCCCCCCTGCCCTGCTACTGAGCCAGGCTTTTCTCCTCAACCCCCGGACTCTTAAATAGCATCATTTACACTTGGGAGCCGCTTGAATCCACCCTGTCACATAAATTACCATCTCTGAACTCGGCTGTCAGGAAGCGTCCTCACCAGTTGACATCCATGAGGGGTGTCAGTGGAAGAGGACTGGTTCTGTGGCACGCAGGAGGAATTCAAGCATCGAGTGAAAGTTTGTCCTCACGTTACCTCCGGTGGTGAGGGCATCTCGGGCCTGCTGCAGGCAGCCCTGCTGTGGCCTTTGCTCCTCCAACTGCCCGTGTTGCCCCTCACTAGCTGTGGGGCTGGCTCTGCCGTGTGGAGCAAGCCCTGTGCTCCTGCATCTCGGGCAGTTACAGCCTGGCCCAGCAAGTGGCCCTGGAGCAGGGGCTCGGGGATATTACAATTTCCTTACAGGGATAAAGCCACAGGCTTTTCTCTCTGCTGTGCTGCTCGCTCTGGCTTTGATGCTGCTGCCATTGAAATGAGGTTGGCCCATCTGGTAGTGGAAGAGATGAGCTGTGCTGGATGGATCTGCCTTGCTGGGGAGGGTTCAAAAGGCAGCACCTACCCTTTGTTGTATTTCCTGCACGCTAACCAAGTCCGTGTTTTCTGGAGCTACTTTTTATCCTTGCAGTATGTTGGGTTTGGCATGGATGCTTTCATCCCTCCTGTTTGAAGTAGAGTGGGAGGACAAAGTGATGAAAATGCCAGTGTCCCATCATCCCACTGTCGTCTGCCCCATCCCCGTTACCCTCCCCATCCCTTAGAAAAGGATAATACAAGGGAATTGTGAGGATGCACCTTGATGGGAATAGCTACAGTTGTTTGCTGCCAGGAGTTGAAACGTGGAGGACTGAAGCTTGGCAGTGTCGGTGGGTTCCTGTTTGTGTTGCCCTGTCGTGGTGCAGCAGCAGCATAGGGCTTTGGGGTGATGGCAGCCCTGGGTGCATGTTTGTCAGCTTTCCTCATAGCCACATGAGAGGGGATTTGAAGCAGTCCAAACACTCTGTTGACTTGCAGAAAAGCCCAGCTTGTGCTCCTCTGGGCCGAAACGCAGTGACTGCTGCCTGTGCTCTCTGCCCTCCCAGCCCTGGCAGACCTCTGAAGCAGATCCCTTTATTTAGGCCCTGATTCAACAAAGCACTTAAGTACATGCTTCATGAACGCTTTCTTCTTTCCATTGATCTGTCTGCATGCTCAGAGTTACGCATGTGCTGAAGCGCTCTCCTGAGCACACAGCAAAGCGGTGACGGGGCAGCATGTGCTGGGCTCTGCCTGGGCAGGCTGCAGGGTTGAGGGCCCTGGTGGTAAGAATTTATTTGGCTCCCTCCAGTACCAAAGCCCTTGTCCCAGGGTCTGGGATAAGTGTGTCCTGCTACAGAAGGGTGGGTTGTTTCCGTAGCACAGGATATTCCTCGTGTCTTGCTCTTACACATTGCTCAGTGTCCTGCAGGATGTGGGGCAAGGGGCTCCGTTTCCATCAGCAGGACAGGGGCAAGTCTGTCTCAAGTTCTCTGTTTTCCCCCTTCTAAGAGCTGTAAAAGAAACCATGTTACATGTATGTGAATGTCTTAATGTTTGTAGTTCAGTGTTCTGTAGGATTCATTCCATCGATCTTCCATTAAAACCATTCCTTTCACCCTGAGGACTGAGCAGCCTAGAGCAGGCATGTACCTGTGTGTCTGTGTGTGCACGTGTGTGCTCCTGAGCTACAGCAATGAGAGCGGAACCAACGCTGGTCTCTGGGATTTCTCCAGGTTGGGAAGTGGCAGGTGTTCTACACTGCATCTTGGTGTAAGTGTGTGTGACCCTGGGAGTCTGAAGCTGTGCAACAGGCACTTCATCCACAAGATGGTTGTATTTCAGCCTGCTCGGAGCAGCTTCTAGGGAACATTCTTTCTAATCCCCACCCAGAGCTGACCTGTTCTAGCTTGTTTTGAGGAGCTGCACCCAGCCAGGCCCTCGCTCCCTGCAGAAGGTTTCCACACATCTTTTCCTGCTTGCCGAGCTCGCTTGGACAGGGAGAGCCCCCACATCAATGGATAGGATTTGCCCCGGTTGCGGGCCTGGAATTGATTTGGAGCATCTCTGTTGCTCACAGAGCCCAGAAGACACAAGCATGGCAAGATGTGCTTTTTCCCCCTTCCCTTTGAAGTTTGAAGCACACTCAGCAAATCCGATGTTCGCAGTCTCTGTTCCCCACCTGATATGCAGAAACGCAAAGGTCTTTCCAGAAGCACGGGTCACACCAGCCATTGTGCTGATGCTGCGGGTGGATTGCAAGGCCCCGGGCAGGTTTTGTTGTGAGCTTGACTCTAATGAGCCTGGAGAATACAACAGGGCTTTAACGAATGTTGGTTTTAATGTGAACTAATTCGATCTGTGAATCAAACGGCCTCTGTGCCCCACCCCCTGCTGCTGCTGACAGCCTCTTCCCACACTTCCTCGGGAGCATTGTTTCCATTGTTTCCAGCTCCAGTAATCTTCGGTTACTGATCAGTGTAATTGCAATAACACACCAATAATAAAGGAGGAATTTAAGCTTCCTTTTCTTGTAGTTGAAGGTTTTTTGCCTGCAAAAGCTTCGGGTCTTAACAGCAGTCACACGAGCAGCATCCTGTGCCTGTGGAGTGTTGGCAAAAGTGGGTGGCCATGAGATAAAAGGGCTGGATTTGGGAAGTTGGGAAAACAGCCCAATCCTATCAGGCAGCATTGGTACTGCTAATATTAGAATGGGAAGCTCTAGGGACAGCTTAACATTTTAGTGGATGCCGAGGAAGCCTTGACTAGGGATGCGTTGGGAGCTGTGTGTTGTATAACGCGAGTTGCTGGAGTCAAGAGGAATTTGAGTTGCCTTTGGTCTGGTGGAAAACTACAGCTAGGAGCAGCGAGTTAATGTTTTCCGTGTGTGCGTGTAGCTGAGGTGTCCCCGGTGCGTTTGCTTTCAGTGTTGTAGGCGCCGCATCCCTAGAGGAGCGACCGTGAGCGCAGTCTTCATGTGCCGCCCGCCCCGTGCTCTGCCCCGGTGATGGGTGAGCTCAGCGGCCATGGGGCTGAGCCGCAGCAGCTCCTGCTTTGTCTGCCAGAAAGCCACCGGCTGCTTTTCCTGCCGGAGCGTTTCCGACAGCAGGGGAGGGGCCCATGGGGAGGACGGGACCTTCGTTAAAGGAGATTAAAGAGCTGACTGCGGGGCCGCGCCGCGCCGCTGGGGCTTCTCGGTGCCAGCCTGCGCCGCTATGAAACGGCCTCGGCTGTTGGTCGGCCGCCCGTGCCTGCTGCTACAACGGTAAACGCCATTGGCCGCTTCCTCCTCGCAGGCGCCGCTGGGTGCGGGAGATGCCCCCCGGTAGCGCAATGGCGGCCGGGCAGCCCCTCGGGCAGGGGGGGGCATCAGCCGCTGCGGCTCCCGCCTCAATTCTGTTTCTCTTTTCCCCGCAGGTTGCTGAAAAGTGCCTTTCCTGAAGCCGCCGCTGCTTGGATCGCTGCCTCGGGCTGCCGCCCTCTGCCCCGCGCCCCCCGCTCTGTGTAACCGGCGTCGCTTGCGCTGCGTGCCCCGACGGCAGCGCCTCCAGCCTCCCCGCGGGTTTCGGTTCTGCTCCACATTCACACGCGGCTCGCTCGGCCATTTTAATTCGGTTCTAGTTTGCTCCTGCCCCCGAGTATGTAGCAAATATCGAAAAGAAAGAGGAAAAAAAAAACAACCCCAAAACGAAAGAAATCAGACGTCCTTTTGCTTGTTTTGATGCTCGCGAACCGTGATTTTTAGAAGCAAGAAATAGAAGGAAAAAATACCCCCAGAAAACGAAGTTTTCTCCCCAAGGACCGAGACCATTCCACAAACTGAAGTGCTGCCAACAGCATATGCTTTTTGCAAGAATAATTGAAACCATTAACTGGAGAGCACAGAATCCTTTTGAAAGTCTGCCAGTTCTTTGCAAGTAACTCCGGCAGTGGCACAAAATCTAACACTTGTATTTTAACTTCTACAATTGCACTTTTAGGAGCTGGCCTCTCATTTGATTTTCAGTTGTTCTGATAAGATTTCTATTTTATGATTGGCTTTATGTTTAATTCTTGTTTCGAGAAACACGATTTGACTTAAATGAAAACCTAAGTGCTGATGAATAGGAGTTCTACCAAAGCAACAAGTTAGTTATTTCTTCGCGTTTAACTTGAATTCACTTTTTTACCCTTTTTTTAAACAAACAAGAAGAAACTCAAGCGGCTCAGCAGTACCTGGTGCCCCCGAGGAAGGGTGCCCTCGCTTGCTTGGTCACTTTTGGTTTTTACTATGGCTGTAAACGTTTCCCTGGTGCGGGATACGAAGTGGCTGACGTTAGAAGTGTGTCGGGAGTTTCAGAGAGGAACTTGTTCTCGGTCTGATGCAGAGTGCAAGTTCGCCCATCCCTCACGGAGTTGCCATGTGGAAAACGGTCGAGTTATTGCCTGCTTTGACTCCCTAAAGGTGAGGACTGCTGCGTGCGTTACCTGAGCTCTCTTGCTCTTCCTTCCCTGCGGAATGGCTCGGCGTGCTGGGGCGTGGGGTGTGCGCAACCGCTGTTTGTTGCTGTTCCTGCAGGGAGGATGCTGCCGATGCGGGATGTAGCTGCTGAGATCCAGGGTACAGTCAGTGCCTGATGCATGGCAGGGAGAAAGGGGTTTATCCACCATTTCCAATGGCAGCTCACGTCTGATGAAGCTGTTCCCAAAGTGGAGACTGTGGGCATTGAGTGAAACTGAGATGGAGAAGCAGAGGACTCAGTGCTGTAATTTATGTCTAGAGCACATGGGCAGCGCGTTCGATGCGGGGCTCTGAAATGTGCTTTTAATGAGCAGAAACGAGAGCAGCATTTTAAGATAATGAATCAGCTTCATGTGCATTTCCTGGAGATGGAGTTGCAGATGCACTCAGACGCTGGCCCGTGGATGGGAAACAGCCAAAATATTTGGAGGGCAGAGCTCCCAGAAAAATGGGTGTTGGCAAAAGGCTTTCTGTAAGGGACATGTCAACGCCGTGGTTCTGCTAGGCCTGGCCAAGTCACAGCCCAGCCTTTTGCTAGCACTCATCTCTGTGGAGCTGATTTTGCAGGCAGTAAATGGCTCCTGGTTGCTTTGTCACTGTTGGAGCTCCAGGGGTGACTTTTCAGAAGCGACCAAGTGCCTGGGGGCTGAGTTGGGGCAGGGGGATAGGGGCTCGCAGGGGGAGGTGGCATCTCTGGGGCTGCTTCATTCACCATGGTGCTCAGGAAATGAGCATCCACTTTGTGGTGTTTCGATGGGGTTTTTTGCCTCTAAAGTGGGGGTCATCAAAGATGCTTCAGTAGGATGGTCAAACCCCTGGCACAGTATGGCTGGATGACCAGTTGCTTCTGAGAGCTCCTGCTGTGGTGCTCACTGTTTTGATCAGTGATTAACCTGTTTGAGGTTCTAGAAGGAATCTAGTATATTTTTACAAGCTTCAAAGCTTTCTCTTGAACTTCAGCTGTTGCTTGAAGAGATCTGGGTTTATTGTCATGCACATAACGAGTACCAGAAATGGTGGAATTACATATGCCCAGGTTCAGACTGGGGCTGATCCAGTCTAACACTGGTTTACCTGTTTTATTACTGTTTGGCTTCTTTGTATTTTCACTTCTGTTCCCTTTTACCAAGAAGCTCACGCTTCCTGTTTGCATTTGGTTTTGCTCTTTTTAATCTGATCATATGCAGCGAGGCTTAGTTACAGTGTGACTTTCAAATGTTCATTTGCATTGCTGTTTGCTGACAGCGAGAGGCAAAACTGTTTCTGTCGGAGGGACATAAAGTCATGTTCTTTGTGCCCTTGAAACTCCTGAATTGTAGCCAGTGGCAGTGCAGACAGTTTGAATGGAGAGATTAACACGTTTCCATTCGATAGCATTTCTTTGGGAAGTGGAAGGAGTGCTGTCCTGCTGTGTGGAGTGGTACCCTGCCCCGTGCCTAATGGTTGCAGCATCCTGAGGAGCACTAAGTTGATGGGCAGCTGGGATCAAATCCCACCCACTGGCATAGCAAACAGGTTTCCCACTTCAGCAGTGGGGAATGGGATGGGGAATACAGTGTTGAGAAAGCAAAGAAAAAAAAAACCCAGTCAAGGAGTCGGGTCTGATGTGCAGCTCAGCGTGTTTCCTGTGTAACTGCCTGTTAAGTAATGTTCTTGTGGCAGCAGCTTCCTCTTGACACAGCAGCAGATGCCCAGTTTGTGCTACTGAAGTGGCCTGAATTTTCCAGGGAACAGATTTTCCGGATTCTTTCAGGCTTAGGAAAGCCTTGTGGGAGCCAGCAGCTCTGGCTTAGGGAAGGACACTGGGAGGAGAGCTCAGACTCTCCTCCCATGATGGGGCTGTTCCCGCATCCCACTTCTCAGCCAAAAAGTGCATCTCAGAGCACCTCCTTCCTTCAGGCCCATGGATCCAGTAGCTCCCACAGGGCAGAGCCCTGGCTGTGCTGTGCCACAGAGCAGTGCAGTCCCCTGTGTGTGTGTGCTCGCCGTGTTTCCCAAGGGAGATAACCACCCTGGTGACTAACCTCTCCAACAAAGGCTTTTCTGTCCTTGGGCTGCACCGGGCTGGCAGAGCCGTGTTTGCAGTGGCATTGAGAGCCTCGTGGGCATAACAGTGGCCTCCCTTCCTGGGAACCAGAGAGATGCAGTGATAGGACAAGGGCTCATGGGTTCAGATGGAAACAGGGGAAGTTCAGGTTAGATACAAGGCAGAAGCTCTTCCCTGGGAGGGTGCTGAGGCGCTGGCACAGGGTGCCCAGAGAAGCTGTGGCTGCCCCATCCCTGGCAGTGTTCAAGGCCAGGTTGGACACGGGCTTGGAGCAAGCTGCCCTAGTGGAAGGGGTCTCTGTCTGTGGCAGGGGCTGGAGCTGGAGGAGCTTTGAGGTCCCTTCCAGCACAAACCAGGCTGGGGTTCTGTGATTCTGTGTTACTTTCTCAGACCCGTTAAGAAGAGGCTTTTCCTGCCCATGCTGTGGGTGTCTCTGTGTTTCCCTGTGCAAGGCTGGGTAGCTGCTCAGTGCTCTGTTCATCTCCTCACACTCTGCAGTAGCAGAACATCTGTGTTGCTCCCTTGGAGACAGGATATAGGATGCTTGCAGCTAATAAGTTTTCCTTTCCCAGTTGTCTTGCAGTGCCCAGGGCTTTGTTCAGAGGTTGCTTATCTGCATCCATTGTGTAGTGCTGGTGCTTGTTTTCTTTCTCACAGACCTCTTAAGCCTGAACAATGCCTTCCTACAGGAACTTTTGATAACCCAGCCCACAATGGCTTCACCTCCCTGGGCAGGTCACGCACAGCTTCTGTAGTTACTGCATCTTACTTTCGCCTTCTGTTCCCTCTGTCTCATGGAGCAGTTTTGCCTCTGGTGCAGTGCTGGGAGCAGTAATGCTTCCAGGAGCAGGCTGCTGCAGTGTGGGTTGTTTGCTGGGTTAGTGTGTGCTGCCTGTAAGCTTGTAAAGAACACACGGGGGCTCTGAAGGTGGTGGTGGGGCTTCACCGATGCTCAGGTGGGGTCACCAGGACGTGCTCTGCAGGAGCACTGTGTGGTTGTGCAGTGAAATACTGGATCTTGATCAGGGTGGAAGTCCGGGGCTGGATCTTTCTGCCCTGAGCTGCGGCTCTTCCAAGGGGGAGCTTGCATATTTGTAGGCAGCAGAAGGAACCTTCCTCAAGCAGATTGATTGAAGCTTAAAAATAGTTCCTTGTGAGGAGCTGTTCACAGATTGGAGTCAGATGCCAGGAGAGCTCTCTCTGTACTCGTGCTTCCCCTCGTTACTCTGGAGGAGCAGTGCTGTCTGCAGTAACCCGTGTGAATGGCAGGGCAAGCTGCACTGCTCGGAGCAGGGCAGCCACCCAGCTGTGGCCACAAGGGCTGCTGATGCTCTGTGATGCTCCTGGCAGGTCCCAGGGCACCTCTGAGGCCTTCTGCAGTGGTGGCCTTTGGGGTCATTCATCAGCTGCTTTCCCAGGCTTGGTGGGCACCTTTCCATGCAGAGCTTTTGGTTGCTGGCTCATGGCGCTCGGTACAAGGCTCTGTGCACAAGCACTCAAGTCATTAACCTTCCTTTGCAGGCTGGATGAGGCCGCCATGGTGTGACCCTGTCTGACTCCTCAGCTTTGTTCTTCTCTTTCTAAAGCTGCCAGGAAGGAACATAGCATTCTCTTTGGTCCCTGGAAGCACTAATGGAGCAGCGAGCTGAGAGATAGCTCACTGTGATAGAAAAGCATGTAGGTAATGCACGCTTGGGTGTTCCCAGAGCCTTATGGTTTGTTCTGCTCACAGGCTGGGTATTGCACTGTGGACTCGCAGCTTAAATGCAGTGTCCAGGCCCAGCTTGGTGAGGTGCGGTGGGGTTTGGGTTTATGCTTCGATTTGCTTTATGAACGTAGGTGTCTCCACATGCAGATCAAAGATGTGAAGGGCCTTCTGGACGACAGAAAATCATGGCCATTTCAGGGCTCTGAATTTTGATCTCGAGAGGTCTAAATTAAAAGACATCCTAAAGCTATTGCATGTTTCAGAGAAGTTCTGTGTGTGTGTATATATATATATATATATATATATATATGAAAAGGGTGGAGTGTCTGAAGAGGCGTGAAATCAGGAGTTAAAAGCCCAGTTTTGTCTGGATTGTCTGTCTTCTAAAAGAAGTGTTATTGTCTGGTAGTGGTATTCACAGTCCTACAGCAATTGAAGAAGTTTGCTGTGCTTGGACAGTAAACGTCCATAGGTTCCATAGGAAACCATAGGATCTTGAAGCTGGGGTACCTGAGGCTGTTCCTTACACTTTGCCTGCTGATTTGTACCTGGTTTATGCTGACTTCACCAGAATTCTTTCTGTTGCTGGTTTGCAACCAAACCTTTTAAATTTAAATAAACTCCAAGCACGGAAACAACTGAACCACCCCCAAACCTCACATACGGTTCCGCTTTTACAGGGGAAGAAGAAAGCAAACCAAGCCAGAGAGGTATTTTTGGAGACACTATGACTGCACGTCTCAGCTCAGTGTGATGGGGCTGCAAATGCACCAGCCAAGTAGTGTTGGGCCAGGTCAGCCCTGCGAGACACCTTCACTTCTTTGGTCGCTCACCTGCATGGTGATGAGAAGTGGATTTGCAGCAGTTTCGGTCTTGTCTGGTGCTTGTGTGTGTCCTATAGCACATCCTAAGTGCTTTTTATAACTACTGAGTCAAACATCTGAAAGCAGGAGAAGCGTTTTTAGACGGTTTTATTTATAAGAACTGTGGCTCTTGTGTTTGAGTGGTACATCAGGGAGGGCAGGAGAATGTGCCTGTTTAGGCACATCCCTTGTCTACACCAAGCTTCGTGTTGTCACTGCTTCATTTAATTGACACGCGTGCTGTGTGTGCTCTGCAGCGGCTCCAAAAGGTTTGTGGTGCTTTGTGGGATGGAGGAGCACACCTGGTGGTGCCTGGGGCTGAGCA